CAAACTTAAACAATTGAACACACCCGGTGAATCGTAAACCATACCATTGGACTTTTGTGAGAAGCGTTGACTTTTACAATCGATGGCTTACTTTTACACCAAGAAAATATACGAGAGCTCTTTTGTGAAAAAATATTAATCTTAGCATTTAACAAAACGTGCAGTTGTGGTGAGCAAACTTAAACAATTGAACACACCCGGAAATAATGTTCACTTTTGAAATAAAGATTTCAACATGGATTAAATTATTGTTTCAAACCATACAATATATATTGAAATAATTATTTTTACAGTTGCTGACAACGATTTCAATACCAACACCACATTGCAAGCTTTATAGAAATATCCCAATTATTTGAGAAAAATTAAGGCTTATACATTCTGTTTTCAGACACAATGAACTAATTTATTGAGTTTAAAATATGATAACTAAAGTCCTTTTTTATGTTTTCTTTTCGATAGTGGTCGTATTTCAATAGTGGTTGAAACATATGGTTATTCTACTGAAATGCACTCTCACCCACTATTGAAATATTTATTTTAATAGTGGTCGTATTTCAATAGAGGTTACTATCTATGTTTGTTATTGAAATGCACTCTCACCCACTATTGATATGATTATTTCAATAGTGAGCTCTTTTAGTGGTTGAAACCTAAAAATATTCATATTAACATTTAACAAAATGATATAATTATTTCAATAGTAATAACAGGGCTATTTCAAATATCATATTACGTTGTCTAGGAGGGAAACGGCAACAATCCTATCCTCAACACCCTTCATTCCAGTATTGACTAACTCCTGCCGAGTTTTCGTACCGAAATGTGTCTTCGTATTTATTCAATTCCTTAAGTTATTGAAAATAAAAGGATATATCAATTCTCATAAATAAGGTATCTAAATAAGTTTTATTCTACCACCAATTATAAATTTGTTTGGTTAATAATTTCAAAGCCCCTAATACCATAAATTTCACCTCAATGGATGTTTTCTTATCTATTTTCAATTCTGTACCTCCATACATAACGCAGGTTTAAATGTCCAAGTAAGCCGTCAACTGTACAAGTTTGGCTTTCCAGAAAGCCTGAAATGTCATCTCTTTGGCTTCATTAATGTCACAGATTAAACAGTGGAGTGTAACTTTTTTCTCAGCTATTACAGATTGTTCTATTCTTCTAGGGAAGGGGTTTTAGATTAGGAAAAAAGGGTAGTGATCAAACTCCAAGATCCTATGTTGTGGATGAGAAGGGAATATTTTACCTTTTTTTTTTATTTTGTTAGTACATGACTATACTCCAAGAAAAAGTGTGGATAAGGGAGGGGCTGGCATTGAACAATTACAACAGTACAAGGTTAAAAAAGGGCTGGTACACAGATTTGTGGATCTGATTTTCTAAAATTGTCTGAATAATATCATGATTCATATGTTGCTTAAGCATTTTACACTGCTTGAAATATTCTAAAATAATGTTTAAAAATCTCTTTTATCTGGAAATTATCGAAACTACAAAGTTTGGGAAACGTTTCATTGACATATTTCCTAGATCGTAGCACTTTCACAAAAGAAAACTTAATCCATAATAGAGATAACTCTTAATGACAAAAGTGTCCATTATCCCTTGATAAATTTGTCAAGTTGAAGAGTTTTTGTCCAATTTTGCCCCACAAGCCATGCTATAATTGTTTAAATGTTACTTCGCATTTAACATTTTGAATAATCATAAGAGTAAACCCTTTCTAAAGATTTCCCTTAAACTTCCCATTCCTTTCATTTTTTTCTTGTGTGACTGTGGGCCCCTACCCAACGCCCACATGCTTTTAAGCATAAGTAAGTATGATAACATGTAAATGCTATCAGGTGAAATAAAGCATTTAGAAATTATCTGGAAAAAAGTCCTAATTTGCCATCCCCGAACTTACGGCTGTTTTAGGAATATACATGTGCCGTATTGTGCCAACAGTGACCGTCCAAATTCACGTGCAGTGCGTATATTTTTTGTGTTTTAGTAAACTTTATCTGTATACTAACCATATAAACAATTCCGTCTTATAATTTTGGTTTAATTTTAATAATATAGGAGGAGTGAATTGATGACTTTTTTGCCATTAATGCAATTAAAACTGCATAAAGAAAACGATTGCAAGTTCTTTAATTATAAGCACGATAAATCCTTAAAAAGAATAGATTAGACATTCAAGAAAATACTCACAATGATTCTTTGGGATCTTTCTTCCAATGACTATAGTTTTTTACAGGCATTAATGTATCCGCTTATAACTTGTGCTTTTAATTTCTGAAATTTCTTTACTCTTAATTAATACATTCGATTAATCAGACTTGTATCAGTAAAAAAAAATGACAGGGCGTTATAGAATGATTAATGTTCCAAAAAATTAAAGTTTTCACCATCAATTCCTATTTATTAGTAATGCGATTACTTATGTGAATGTTTTAAATTTGATGTTGTTTTTCTGTGAATTCTTGAATCCAACGCCTCTGCTGCAGAGGATCTTTACACACGCGCTGACCTAGTTAGAAGATTCTATCGAGTTCTGACCATCATTTAGGTAACAGCCAAGAAGACTATACATAAGAATATACAGTGTATATTTTGAAGTACCCCCATCACCCAGACGATTGTGTGTGTCGGACTCTCTATGATTTCTTTGCAGCTTGTTTTCTTTATCAACAAGAAGGCGGATCGCTCGTTGTTTACATCTCTATATTTAGAAAATCGCATCATCGCGTCAAACTGACCAGTCGGTGATCCTCGGGTGGCTCTCCACGTTTTGTATGCAGTGTAGTGGAGTCAGCCGAGGATTGCCGAGTGATAAATGGCTATGGCACGCCAATTTCACAAAAATGAGATAAACCTAGCTTCACAATTGATAAACTAGGTTTATCGACTGTAAACTATAGTTTACAAACCGTAAACTATAGTTAACGATTCGTTAAGTATAGTTAACGATTCGTAAAGTATAGTTTTCATCTGTAAAACTATATTTAACGGTCGTTAACTATAGTTTACGAATGCTAATCTAAGTTTATCAGTCTGAATAAAGCGTTAACAATAGATTTTGTTGATAAACATAGATTCACGTTTGTAAACTATAGTTTACAATCGTAAACTGTAGTTAAGAGTTGTTAATCATAGTTTCACAAATCGTGAAACTATATTTATCAGATCGTTAACTATAGTTAACGGTTTGTAAACTATAGTTTACAAATCGTGAAACTGTATTTATCAGATAATCTATGTTTTGCGATCGCAAATGATTGTTTTCGATGTTAAGTATAGTTTACGGTTGTGAAAGATAAATTATCGCGTTAACTATGGTTTACAGATGTAAAATATAGATTAACGTTGTTAACTATAGTTTACAGTCCGTAAACTATAGTTTACAACCGATAAACCTAGTTTATCGACTGTGAAACTATGTTTTGCTCATTTTTGTGGATTTGGCGTGCCATAAATGGCAGCTTGTCATCTCTCGTGAGAGATGACAAAAAGTCAGTATCTTCGCAAAAATCCATTAATAGAGCTCGTGCCCTGTTTACAAAAACTGTGTACTTCTCACTGGTGTGTTCAATTTGCTAAACTCTGTACACAACACTAAACGCGGAATGACGATACTTGTGAAGGGGTCTTGCTTTCGAACATTTCTACTCTGAATATAATTATATTTCAGGATTAAAGTTTTAATATGTTTCATTAATACACAAGATTGTCATTTAATTTTCCTAAGTAATAAGAATAAAATTAAAATTCGTGAAAGTGCAAGGATGTGTCAATCAAACAAATCGAAAAATTTGAAGTTTCATTAACTTTTAGAAGAAATAAGATTTTAAATGTATTTTTGTGTGAAATGCTATTACAACATTTAAGTCCTGCTATTAAACAGAAAAAAATAAACTTCAAATCTGTGTCTATGCACCTTTAAAACAATATCCAATTCTTGAAAGAAATTTGAACTTTATCATACAAAATTTCTTCATTTTCGAGACTTTATTATATTGCATCGATCAGTTCCTTTAACAATTGTTCCGTAGTCAAACGAAATATTAAAAAACCCATACTTCTGATATAAATACTCTGATCAAAATACGTTGTAAAACCGTAGGTTATATTCCCTAAAATGGGTATAAAAACGACTAAAGAATAAGAAAATGTCCCTTTCAATGAAGTTTTTGAAATCTTTGAAACATCAACTAACCTGCCAATAGCCTGCCTAATTTCAAACCATCGATTGTGCTCTGCAATCGAAATTGTATGTACATGTGTATTATATTTAACCGTATTTATAAATATTAATATAATTATATTCTTTTTTTCATGATCGAGTGATTGTTAGGGTTTTGAAAGTCATGCACCCAGGAACTTAAATTCATTCCTTTTTTTTTTTTTAAATTGCATGCTTTATTTTACTAATTTTTTTTTTTGCTTATTAAAATGAGACAGTTTACCTTTTGATTAATTATTTACATGGCAATTAAGCTCAATGAATATTCTATATGAAGTAGTTTTTCTCTCCTCATCACCTTCTCAAATTATAATGTGACACACAAGGAACAGAAACAATGAATTTATTGACTTCTGTTAATTTTTTTTGGCATGTATCCTGTTTTTCTACCATGTTAATAATAAAAGTAGATAAGTTGGAAGAATTTTTTTGTGTTAAAGTTATTTATATGCATATGATGCACAATTTCGGATGCATGACAACATTCAGATGAAATCGACGTCGAGAAATAATTTTTCAATGATTATTACAACAGTCAGATGAAAACGACGTCGAGAAATACTTTTTCAATGATTATTACCCATACCACGCAACAACTAAAACTTAGTCTAATAATTGTGTGAAAATTTTGTTTAACCTTATTAAATCAATGAAACAGAAATGTCTTCAGTAGCTCTCACTTGCCCTTATCGACCAAGCTCTGCTGCATGAATTTAAACATAATGCGTTTTATATGAATACCTCGGAGAGTTCAGCCAAAAAATCTATTGTGCTTACACAAACATCAAAGACTGCGCTTCAGTTGAATCTAAGAGGATGAAATTTCGTTGTCTCTGTATATTTATAATTCTCTTTCTATTTCTTGGTGTTTCCAACAGCTTTAAACAATTTTCCTTATTTTCCCGTGTTCCAGAAAATGATAACAAGCGTCCAGCTGTCACTGTTTCGGATGAGATAGACGGAATACAGAGTTTGTCCTCTTGCATTTCGTATGGCAAATTGGATTATACTGAAATTTTCTTCAACAAATTGACAAATAAATGTGTAATTTCAAAGTCAGAGGGGCTCTCACAAATGATTGTTTCGTCAGGATATATACATATGTCAACTACGGCAGAAAGTAAGTATACTCCCTAGCTATTTTATTTCAGATTGAGATAAATGAAATATTGCTTTATTAGATTAAAAAGGAAATACTGCATATTAAGATATCAAGAAATGGAATCTGTAACAGTGTGCAATCAATGATATTCCTTTCTTTTCATTCAATTAAATCAGAACTATTACAGAAAGTTATAGGTCGTCATTAACTTCTTTTTAAAGTAAAATATCAAAACGAAATATGCTGAGATAACGAACAATATTGTAAACCAACTTTTATTCGCGACGACTTTATTTCGCGATTTACCGGGATTAAACTAGTTCGCGCCGATTTATTTTCGCGATCAAGCCGTTTTGGGAAATGTTTTTAATAGACAAAAAGAGTTTAAGGACCTGTTGGCGGCGAGAAATATTCGCGATGATCAGGCTCTCGCGAATCTCGCGAAAATTTCTCGCACGCGAATAAAAATTGGTTTACAGTATTCAAGCTCAAAAATTAGGAGCAGAGCAAACAAGGACCTCTAAAACATCAGAGTTGGGATCAAATATCAGGAGATATTTCTGACTCTTTGGTATATTATTAATGTATATAAAAGCAACGTACTAGGATGAACATTGAATATTGTATATAGAGTTGATTCTAGATATTTTCGCCCTTTCACACTTGGAAATAATTTTGGACCGTTTTAAATTCATCGAATCACAGTTTTGTTTAAGAAACTTTACTGTGTTTATGAATTCGCCCCATTTAAATATGCCCATCCGTGAAGAGGGCGAATAGGGCGAAAATAAAACGGGAAGAAAATTTCTGTGTATTCAGAGTATATCTACGGAAGCCCATTTAGGACCTATAAAAATATTTTCGAAATTTGAAATGTGATATCACGAATTTAATTCGTTACAACAATTTCTTTGAATTTGTTATAACGATTTTAATCTGCTATAACAAATTTGTTGAATTCATTACAACGAATTCTTTAATTTGTTATAACGAATTAAATTCGTTAAAACAAATTCAAAAATTTGTTATAACAAATTTAATTCGTTTGAACAAACTCTGAAGTTAGTTATATCAAATTAAATTCGTTTAAGCAAATTCCAAAGTTTGTTATAACGAATTAAATTCGATTAATCAAATTCAATAATCAGGGCCTATAGAAAAATATATATGAATTCGATATAACGATTTGTCGAATTCATTTTAACGAATTAAATTCGTTATAACAAATTATGGAATTTTTTTTAAACGAATTCAATTCATTATAACAAGTTTTAGAATCTGTTAAAACGAGTTTAATTCGTATTAACAAATTTTTGAATTCGTTATAACGAAATCAACAAATTTGTTATAACAGATTAAATTCATTATAACGAATTCAGAGAAATTGTTATAACGAATTAAATTCGTTATAACAATTTCACTGAATTCGTTATATCGGATTCAAAAATATTTTTCGATAGGTCCTAAATGGGCTTCCGTATATTTCAAATATTAACAACAATTTTGGGAAGTTTAAAATTAATTTGCAACTCGTTTTCAAATGAATAGTGATATAGTGGCCTTCAACCATTGAAGGAGCTCGAGTATATCGTATTATCAAATAAACGATTCAAGAAAACAAATTTGATCTTCGATTTTTTTATTCATTTCACAAACTTTTTTTTCCGTTTTTAGAGCTTTCCAATATTAATTTGTTAGAATAGTTTCGTGTCTTATCGACATATTTTCCGAAAATTAATTTCTTTCTTTTATATATTTGAATGAGAATACATAAAACAGAAATACTTAACATGTACGTGCTTCTCGCTTCGTAATAAGATATTAATGCTGTATCGAACGTCCAGAAACTTCATAAAAAAAAAACTTTTGCAAACAAAAAAAATCAATTTAATCCTTTTAGGCATTAAAAATAGGAAGTAAATGGAATTTTCAAAACATTTTTAATGGACATGTTATGTTTTCTAAAACAGTCTTCTTTTAATGCTTATAATTAATTTCAAAATATACCTGTTCTACAGATAGGTTGTTTCATAATATCTATCCTAATCAGAAATATCTTTTCAATCTTTGGTTTTCGTCTATTTTGTGGTTCTCAAGTCTGGTCTCCAAAGACCTCAATGTACATCAATGTTCAGAAATTATTCCAGCAACAATCATTCTCAAAACGCATGATATAATATAAAACGCTGACTTAATCAAAAGTAACGGAAAAATTTATGAATGTATGCATATGTACCAGAAAAAAAGTATTTATGAATGTATGCACATGTACCAGAAAAAAAGTATTTATATTCTCTAATAGTATCTTAATTACTGTTCGTTTTCTTTATTTTTTAGTTGAATGTATCTGAAAGCAGTTTTTAATGGGGACAGATGTTTCACACTGTACTTAAAACATTGCTTGTTCACTGGATGTTTGAGATTGATGAGTGTTAATTATATCAAATTGATTTACCTTTTACATTGGAGATACCAATTACAATTAATATAACATGTTTGCCTCTGCGGTTGATTTTTAAAACATTTTCAAAAACACAAATGTAAGCAATACACTACTTTCAATACAAAAATATACTTTCATCAGCGAATCAATTAATTTTTGATCCAACATTTTTTTTTCTAGAATTAAACGATTGCTAAAGTAATGTTATAAAATACCTTTGTTTAGGTTCGACTGATTGGAGAATGCATGGGAAATCCCAATACTGGCCGGTTTACTCAGGTAAAACATGGATCAATGCGCAGGTAATAATATATAAGAATATAAGGTAAAATATGAAATGAAGTTTATATTGTGTTTTTTTTTTTTTTTTTTTTTTTTGCTCATATTAAAATAATGTATTATTCACAAGACAAATGTGTTGCCTTGCAGATTTGTAAAAATGTTCTATATTCACTGCTTCTCAGAAAATTATTATTCGATTATGGATGGCACTTTCTGGATAGATTTTATAGAAAAAAATCTATATTATTCTTTTAAAGATTTTTTTTTAATTATTTAAAGAAAGAATGTTTGAAATACGGTTCAAAGCTCACAGAGATTGAAACAGTCGAGGAATATGATTTTGTGAAGAGCATTGCTGAAGAAATAGACGCAGGTACAATGTAATACAAAAATCACATTTATTATTAACCTAAATTCTAAAATAATTTAAGAGTAAAAAAATGATATTTCAAAATCTAATTTAGTTTTTTTTTCTGAAATGAATATTATTTTCAAAGTAGTTACATTAAATTTTGCATATTGTGTTTCAGCGAAATATCTTTTTGTATATTTTGTATCTTAGAGTAAAAATTGAGAAAAATTTAGAATTATTGTTAAACTTAACAGTACACAATATAATTGTGTTTTATTTAAGGAATGAAGTTTATTTCAACTGTTGTTATACGATATAACATAACTTGGGGTAGTTTACGCTTTATAAACCGCGAAGCGGTTGATAAAAAGCGTAAACTGCCCCAAGTTACCGTATAACGGGTTGTTTTTACTGCTGTAAATTTTTACGAATTTTGTCTGAAATAAGGTATTTAAATTTTTACGCGTTAATTTTTTTACGAATTGAGCATGTCCGTAAAAATTAAAATCATCAGAGGTGAAATTCCATGCAGATTAATGTTTTAGCATTTTGCATGCGTTTACATACAAATAGGCCTAATGCGTCTGGAAACCCCGGCCCGATGTAAAAATCAAAATGAAACTACTGAGTATTCTCTCGACATCGAATGTCGATTCATTAAATTATCATATGTTTGTTCATTGAATTATCTTTATATTATGATGTACCCTTCTTAGATTCCTGTTTTTTTTAAAATTAAAACACAATTTGCTAAGTATCATCAATGATGAGTACTATGTGCCCGTCGTCAATTTACCGGAAATGTAAAGAGAGACAACTCAAACCATCATGATTTACTTGACACTTTTAAAGTGTGTTAAAAAGTCACGTTTTTATTGAATGCAAACAAAACAGAAGAAAGGGTCAACGACTTTGAAAAACGGGCATAATTTGAAGATCTGTAATAACTAAATCATTATCAGAAATTATGCGCCTTGTAAAAGTAAGCGATGTTATGCGTTAATTGAGATTAACTTGTTTAATCCTAATTGATGATCAATTTAAAAGTGCTAAAAATACCAACGGTACTAATTCTAGCCTAAAGGTAATGAGTTAAATGGATACTCTCATACATACGATGTTGAAAATTTAGGCCAGGCGTTTTATTTTTACTTCTGTGAAATTTTATGCGTTTAAATTTTACGGATTTATACAACTCGTAAAAATTAGTAAAAATTAGCAGCACGTAAAAAATACCATTATGCGGTATGTTATATCGTATAACTTAAGTTGAAATAAGCTTCATTCCTTATGATTTAATTTAATGTAGACAATTAGTCAATTTTCTCATCTTTTCCATCAGAAAAAGGCTTTAAGAAATGAATGTAATATTTTTTCCTTTGATCGATGTATCAAAGAAAAATTTGGACGGAAAACTTCATCAATGCGCGTAGCGCATTGATAAAAAAGTTTTCCGTCCAAATTTTCCTTTGATACATCGATCAAAGGAAAAAATATTATATTCATTTCTTATCATTTAATTATGATTTTAAATTAATAAAATGAAACTTTCTTTCATCTTTCTATTAAATTTACGCATCAAAAGCAGTGCGCACGAATGCATCACAACAACGTTGCTGAAATTCAAAATGGCTCAAACGAAGAAACGTTCTCAAATATTGTACGTCGTGTCATTACCAACATTCTCTGAAATAATTTACAGTTCTTTAACACAAAAAACTTACCTGTTGTGTTATCCCAATGGGTATATTTTCCCCGGTAAGTCACAGGGGCTTGTGTAGATAAAATAAATCAGTTGAAAAAAATGAGTAACTTTGTGTCGCTCGGTTTGTCTCAGGACTTTACTATAACAATGAAGTCGTACCCAAACTGAAATATTTGACTATTTTTAAATTGGTAAACTCAGATGCTTTCATTTTATCAATGACTGTTATTTCACTTCTTTGCTTTTCTGTTTGAAAGTATTTTGGTTACACTTTTTTCCAAAATTTGTTGAATTTGGACTGAATCTGGGGTAGTACGAAATATTCTCTAAGTCACGTGTCATACTTTCGTTTTCTTCAGAAGCCAAGGAGTTGTCGATTTTGGATGTTTATGCGATGAATTGACTAAGACTGTAAATGTAAACAAAGAAAGATTAAAACTGCAAGTAAGATCTTCAAGAAAAAAACATTGATTAAGGGAAATGAATTGGCTCGTATGTCTAGTTTAACAATTTAAGCGAGAAAATAGCTGATGAAGCGAGGTGGTATCCAAAATGGCGTCCTCCCTTGTGTTTTTTTCTCCGAGGTACTCATTTTTTTCAGCTGATTTATTTTCTCTACACAAGCCCCTGTGGGTAAGTTATCTAAGTTCGTAAATGTAAAGGGAAGCTACTCAAATTTATAACAGTTCTAAGGTCACAGAAATTTTGCATTTCATTTGCACATCTTTTCATCTGAATTTCAAACCGAACATATAAATACGTATCACAACCTGTCAATGCTGTAAAACCTGAAAGAGTCTGCTGCCGACTGTTTAAGATTAAAAGAATCTTCCTCATTCATGCAGTGACGTTTTTTCTGGATCATTCGTTTCCCAAGATTTAACAGATTAACGGTTTTCTCTCTTCAGAATTCTATTGTTCATACCTGATATCTCAAAGCCAAACATTTAACAAAAGTATGTCGATTTCTTCCCTTCTTTCCGAAAACTGTATTGTTGTTATGCAGACGATTTGATTTGTCTAGCAAAGGGTGATAATTCAAAAAGAAACGAAAGTAGAAAATAAGTCAGGAACGTAACGGACAGGTTTCGAAATTCAGGAAAATATTTATTATAGTAAAAGTATTTAATTATTCCTTCAAGAAGTAAACTGAAAGCGGGAAATATACATGTAGAGACAACCAAAGTAGTTCCGGCTGCTTAGTGCAAGCGAACTCTAGATTTTATTGATGCAGTTATCAAAAGAATTTTTCAACCAATCAGAATCAAGTATTTTATAGAAATTAAATGATTCAAATATCGCATATTTTAAAAGTTAACGTCTATCGGAGTTATACGTTTTTGACGTAACTCATTGTGACGTAGGCAAGTTATGTTATACAAAATGGATAAAACCGTTTAACCAATCAAATGACGTGTTACAACTAAAATAAATTATTCTAAGATGAATGATCTCTAAAATGTTCATTTCATATCGTGCATGTGTATGTTTCAGCGAATATCCACATTGGTGGCACAGATGCATTTGAAGAAGGAAATATGGTATGGTGGTCAAGTTTGCTGTCTGAAAACCTTGGTCCTGGTTTGTGGACACGGAATCAACCCGACAACTACGATAATAATGAACATTGTCTGAATCTTCAAAGAACATCAGACTATAAACTAAACGATAGTAACTGTCAATCTGTGTTTCCCTTCATATGTGAACGCAGTGTTTGAAAACTATATCAATAAGGAAACGAAATCCTCCATACAGCAATCTTTTTGTTTTTGACTTATTTCAACTTAATGTAACTGTAATAATACTCTTAAGTTTACTCGTCAATGGATTTGCACTAATTTATTGTTCGGCAAAAAATTAATTAACTATTTAAGTAAGATTGATTTATTGATTGTATATTATTTAACGTCCCTCTCGAGAATTTTTTCACTCATATGGAGACGCCACCACTTGCCGATGGAGAGCTTCAAATTTTGTCCTTTACTCGGCACTCATTGCCATTGAGCAGGGAGGGATCCTTTTCGTGCCAGAACCTACTGCGACACGGGACCTCGGTTTATACAGTCTCATACGAAGGACCGGTCTCCACGTCCCACACTGGGATTCGAACCCGCAACATAAGGACTGACTCCTTACTTCGCGACTCTGGAGCAGACGCTCTACCCATTTTAGTAAGAAAACAAAATCCTCGATATATTAAAAGTTCTTTTTAGTCTTATTTTAACTTCAAGTAATTTAATAAATAAATACTCATCAAGAGATTTGAACTTATTTAAAGTTCTGTAAAAATGATTTACCACTATATGAAACTACAACTCTTGATCCGTTTGATTTGTCAAATTACAGTATATGTCCCGATTGATTAATGGTTTGATAAAGAGATGTAATTAAATAAATAAAAAATTAACTTTGTTATCAATTTTTTCAAGCAAGGTTTAATTTTTTTTTCACGCAATGATTTTTAAAGAACTTCTTTTCAACATATCATTATTTTAGATAGGAGAGATGACCTCTGATTATTTATATCAGAATTTTTACTTCTTCTGGTTATACTTAAACAGCACAAGATGTTTTCGATTGGTATATCTTTCATAGAGAATTGCATACATTGATTGAAATAAATGCAAGAATTGTATGTCATTTTACCATATATAGCAATACAATATAATTAGGGTTTTTTTTTATTTAAAACTATTGTACCCATTTGACTGTAAGAATGCTTTTCACTTTTTCATGCATTTAGTATTACATTAAAGGATTAAATAATCGAGTGCATGTATAATTCATTCTATTCTTACTTACTGCAAGAGTTTTAAATGAAATCCTTTACTAAAGCCCAATAAAAAACCGCAAACCAAATAGCAAATTATTTATTAGTTATCTAGATACATGTAGTAGATACCTTACTGCCATCATTGAAGAGAATTTAAGTGTATTGCTTAAAATAGTAATGTTGTAATGAAATATAAAGATATCGCACAGCTCGAAAGTCCATAGAGAAAACACTAATTGAGAACAGAGAAAACAAAGACCTCCAAACATATCAGATGGATCTGATGCCATGGAGGAATAACCATCCCCTATGGACTGACAGAATGACACACCCTCCGTTTGTTCCTTGTCATGATTTGGTAAATAATTGTAATACATAAACAATATAATATCATTTGACTGAAAATTTATTATTGTTTATTTTGGGCTAAAAATCTTTCCCTGGAATATTCTAAAATTTGAAACTCTGCACAAAATGATTCACATGCACTGGAATCTATTATATAGATCAATTAATTATTTCAGTGGAAGTTTATTGAAAATTTATCTCGGAAGAAATTATAACCCAATTTTACCTTCGTAACAAAGTTTCAAGGATATCGGTGGTCACATATATTTGACCTGCTGACCTTTTCTTTTGTTTTTGATTCAAGGGAACGGAACCAGAAGTGGATGTACAAGGGTCTTCCTCAGTTACATTTAAGACTTTGTCTTTTGTAAATGAAGCATTTGAACTACCGTATTTCTTTAAATGAAAATTATCATCGGTTAGATCAAGAAAGTCAATGTCTGTGACTTCACTGGTAGACTTTTTAGCGTGTGTGCAGTTCTTAATACGTATTTTCTCATTTTCCGTGCCCTTGGAAGGTTTTGGACACTGTGGAATGCCATCGGTCATTCTATCTAAAGGGTACCTGGTCTTTACACTTCTTTCCAAACTTGATAGAACACTTTTCTCCGAGATTTGAATAATTTTTCTGTTTTCTGGGTTACCACGTAATCCTGTTTTGCATTGAAAGTCTTGAAATACAGATGTATTGGGAGTACACGTAGTTGAAGTGCAACCTATTTGTGGCGAGTTTACATTTGGCTTCGAATTCTGAGTAGCCGCGGATGATTGTTCATCTGACTTAGCTGGAGTATTGTTTTTTCTCATTTCTTTTACCATTGATTCAAACGCACATGGCTTTTCTTTATGTAGCTTGGTCTTTGCTTTCATACCATCAACTTCCTCTTTTATTTCGTTCAATTTCATCTTTACTTCTAATTGCTAATATTTAAAAAAACATATTAGACATGCCATATATTAGAGTGATTATTAAAAGAGAACCAGACGTCGAAATGCAAAACAATTTTGCCATCTTTTCGCCCATGTCTAAATCAGAACTACATTATAATACAAAGATGTCAATCCTATTATTATACCCCCCGCTTGAAAAGCGGGAGGGTATATAGTAATCGGTATTTCCGTCCGTCCGTCCGTCCGACCGTCCGTCTGTCTGTACGTCCGTCCGTCCGTCTGTCCGTCCGTCCGTCCGTCTGTTACGCTTTGGGGTACCCATCTCTTATCCGCAACTCCTCTCATACCACTGAATGAAATTTGATGAAACTTTCACAGAATCTTTATTACATATTGCCATTGTGCACCTCCTATTTTACTTTTTGATCTGACACATATTTTGGGTTTCCCGGCCACAGGAAAACATGGACTTTTTCACCAGTTAAAACCATATGGGAGGCGGGGGGTATCATTTAGTGAGCTCATCGCTCACAGTACCTCTAGTTTATTAGAAGACGATGTATACTTACACATACTCTTGTTAACAATTTCACTACCACGTTCTTATATTTAGATTCCAAGTTCCTGTTATGTGCTTCTAGGATCTCTTTCTCTTTCTTCATTTTCTTTATATATTCCACGGATGCTTTAAGAGTCGATCCTTTATTCAATGTCATAATGCTAAAAAAGTAAACATGTAGTATATTTTAATGAAAAATAACCTAAAATAATCTCGTAGTGATTTTTAAAATAGTCTTAAAAAGACAGAAACTGTATTGCAAAGAAACAAAAGGTTTAAATTCTGTATCAAAGTTTAAAAGCTATGTCTACTGAGTTAATAATTTGATTGATTGATTGTACGTTTTTTAAGGTATTCAATGCATAATGGCCATATTTTGTACCTAATATGTATAAAGGAATGGTCCGATATTTTTAAGCATGATAGCATTTGAAAGATGTTATCAAATAAAAATGCACATTGTCCAATTGATCCAATTAATTGCACCTTGAATGTTACATTGAAGTCTATTGCCAGTGCTTTTTTTAAGGTTATGTGAAAAATAATTGGAATTTCAAACAAATCTCTTGGTAAAAATATGCACACATTCTCTCTTTGGTAAAACATGAAATAAAATAAATTATTTACCATAGAAATTTTGAAAAATTAAAAATGCTCTTCTTTTCATCAAGGGCAGATAACACTTCAAAAACTTTAAAGATTCAAAATGACCCGCTTCTTACATGTAATCAGTTATGTAAATTTGGTTCATTTCACCTTTATCGTAATACATTTTACGTTGAATACGCCCTTCTCGAGATTTTTTTCACTCATATGGAGACTCTGTACTTGACGGTTTAGAGCTACAAATTTTGTCCTATACTTGGCACATTGGGTCATTCAGGGATCTTATTCGTGCCAGCACCTACTGCGACATGGGGCCTCGCTTTATACGATCTTATCGGAAGGACCGGTCTCCACGTCCCAGTTCAGCTTTATTTTTTGATCATACATTTTTTCGCCATACACGGAATAATTTTCGAAAATCAGTTTAGCGGCAGAAGGTGTCATTGCGGTCGGGAACTCTAAAACCCTGAGGCCTATTCAGCAGAGCGAACGTTCGCAAAAGCTCGCCAATGTTCCTTATACCTCCAACAGAAATAGGGACTCTTTGAACAAGCCTCTGGAGTCTTTTTTTTCTGGAATCATTGGCAATTTGTATACTTTTTTATCTTAAAGTTTAATTTTTTTAAATTTTATTTTAGCATTTGAATGTATGTGTATTTTATGAAAAAACAGCATGTATTTTCGATCGACAATGTCTTTGTTTCGTAAAAAAAATATGAGGGATATTTCATTATCTTCTCTGATTTCTGTAAGCGTTCTTTCTAGAACTATTACTGTATCTTATTTTGGCAGGGTGGTAAATACAATTCTATTAAATATTTAATCTACGTTTATCTTATTTTTTGCTACAGCTAATCTACTATAGATGCAAAGTTATCGAATGTTACAATTTGCCATGCGATGAAAAAATATTTACCCATGTGCTGGTTTGGGCAAAAGTGATGCCAGTTCCTTTATTCTATCATTGATATGGAATCTTCTTCTACGTTCGACTAACAAAACAAGAAACAATATTTATTTATTAAACATTACTTTTTTTTATAATAACACTGTTCACACTTGAAAACTAAATCCTTAAAATTTCTAACATGGACAGATACTGACCATCTAAATAAGCAACCTCGCAATGCTAGGGGTCCTGAGTCAACACGTTGCCGTTGGACCCATGGCATATTTCTTTAATATTCGCAGGCCGACTGAAGTGACGTTATTTGGAAAAATTACAAATCTTGATTGTTTTTCTGATCTCTCAACCAATTGCATCAAGCCATACTATGATTAACAACATTTCAGGTATCAACTGACTTCTTTTTATTTACGTTATCTTACTGTTTATGAAAGCTTTAATTTTATTGCTGCTTCCCAATGAGAGACGCACCCTAAAATATCTGATGAAATATGCCAGGGGTTCAACGGTAATGTGTTGACTCAGGACCTCTAGATCTGGCATTGAGAGGATGCTTAATAAAATTGTAAGAAAAAAGTATTATTTTTAAAGAGTACATTATTATACCCCCCGCTTGCAAAGCAGGAGGGTATATAGTAATCGGTATTTCCGTCCGTCCGTCCGTCCGTCTGTTACGCTTTGGGGTACCCATCTCTTATCCGCAACTCCTCTCATACCACTGAATGAAATTTGATGAAACTTTCACAGAATCTTTATTACATATTGCCATTGTGCACCTCCTATTTTACTTTTTGATCCGACACATATTTTGGGTTTCCCGGCCACAGGAAAACATGGACTTTTTCACCAGTTAAAACCATATGGGAGGCGGGGGGTATCATTTAGTGAGCTCATCGCTCACAGTACCTCTAGTTATAAATGATAAAGAGAGAGAGATAACCATTACTTATATTATGCTTCTCCTTCCGAATTCTCTCTTTTCTTAATAGCGACTCTTCTAACTGTTTGGCAGAATTTCTTGATTGAAAACTGGATGTTGAGGGATTTCTCTCATTAGCATTGCAACAACTTGTAAGATTGCCTTTGTCCTGCAACGCAAGGAAATAGAGTGAGATGAACGTACTATTCATCGCTATAAAAATAAAATGTTATCAATTTTAAAAAAAATTGAATAATTTATATATAAATTAAATTGTTTATGATTGAGCATGCTTCGTGGGGTTGCGGAAACTGACGAAATTTACTGGAGTCGAAGCTTATGTCATACGAGTTATCTTTCTTGGACTATCTTAAGCCCTCTCAATAAGAAGACATTGAAGCAAAAAATGATATCCATCGTCGATACGGTGATTATTACAAAATTTACATATCACATTACAGTATCAATAATGTGTTATAGATGTATGTAGATGAACTTGTTATATTCTACATTGTTAATTATAAGTAAATATATTTCCTGGGATCAAAGGAAACTTTGCTTTATCTGTAAATGTGCAATTTCTTTTTCAGTATGTTGTGTGATTAGGCGATTCCCAAGTCCGTTCTAAGCGAACCATCTTTAACACCCCTTGTCCAATTAAGTTTAAAATGTAATTTATTTCTATCATAATGTAATAAATATTCATTGGAAGATTTCAATACACAGTTACTTTACTGTACAAAGTAATTTACACAAGAATTAAATTTTCATAATTCTTATTTTTCAGGTTATATGATTATTGGATAACAAATTTATTCACCATAAACCATGTAACAACAAGTAAATCTTTAAATTCCTAGCAGGTTTTACTAATTGACTCAAAAAAGATGAATGCAATCTTTTCCAGGTGATTTGTGGAACCCCAAAATTTCACAAAAATGTTTTAGAACACTTTATACGTATGTATCAAGCGACTGACAATATATTTCTGCAATTCAAACATTTGTATATTTCGATTAAACGTTTCTTCCTGAATTCAAACATATTTTCTGAGCATTTTAAATAAACGAACTGCTTATTTAAAGAACCCAAGGATCGGACTTCGAAAAAAAAATGCATCTAAACCTCTGTCTTTAAATAACGTATTATTAGTTTGTATGCATGAAAAAAGGTAATAAAACAAAAAAAATGTTAATATTAAACTACTAAACACGCATTTAAAAGAAATTTATTCTACCTTTGTAGAATCCAAACAATTAAATGTGTAGTTCCTTAATTGTTATGTTTGCTCAGGTAGTAAATTGTGTTAATTTAAATGTACTTTAAACAATTTTATTTCTTGATTAGATTCCTCTCTTAACTGGTTTAAATGTGAAAGATTAATCAAGCCCGTTAGACACAAATTGTCGTATATCAAACTTTTTACTGTAATTTGTGGTTTCATACTTATCACTTGTCATCTGCAGAGGAACTCTGAGAGATCAATTGACCTGGCGTTCAACCTTTGAACTTGATCTTTGGCATACTTAAGGAATCACTGTCTAGTTAGTGTAGTATGCCAGGTCATCAACGATAATGGGAAACATGGGATAATAAATTATCCCATGTTTCAAACTATCGTTGATGTCCCCGGCATACTACACTAACTAGACAGTGATTCCTTATATTTCCATTTCATTGTGAAATAAAATTATAGATTTCGACTTTAGAAATGTAGATTAATAGATTTAAACTACATGAGGACTTCCATGTCAATTTCAATAGTCCTCGCCCACTGACGTCAAACACGAAGGCAGCCGCACGAGATTTACATGCATATTTGGCCTCCTTAGCGTCAGACACAGAGGCAGATGCGCACGAGATTTGCATGCGTATTAGGCCTCCTTAGCTCCTGACCTATCGACCTGCCTAATTTGCATTCTGGTTTAATTATCAAGAAATAAACTCCCCCTAACTTTCAAAGAGTTTTCACAGAGAAAAAAATTAGAAATGGAAATATTTTTTTATAATAGTGCATAAAATCGATATACTGTAAGACTTAATTTTTTTTTACATTTAAGAGACACGTCTTTGTATTAGAACTATGATGATACTTTTTATAATTAAATATTTTAAATCAAATGTTCCTAGTTATGAGTTGAAGATGAAAGGTGTATTTTTACTCTTTAGATCACATATAGTATATGATGATTGACACACTAACACATCTATTTTTCCTTGTATGCAAAAACATAAACTACGACACCAGTAGAATACACATGGAATACTTTAGTTCATTACCAGAATGTCAATTGTTTTTTATAAAATATCTTAATAATTTTCCTAGAATAACATTTTTATTTTGAATGAAATTATACAAGCATACGCATACCTTATCAAATTGCATGAATTGATCAACATAGTGAAGTTCTTCTACGTGTGCTCCATCCATTTTGATAGATTTCAAAATATCGTCAATAACGATGTCCACCTAAATACAGATGATTCATTTAATGTATGATTCAAATAATAAACTGGTGCTAATAACTTTTCTTAAATTTTTCTTCGAAAAAAAATTTTGATTGTTCTGGAGAAGCATAAGAAAATCAAAGCAATTTACACGAAGACTTTTAACATTTGTATTTTGGTCATTTTATGGAATGTGATTGATTTCCACCCTAATGCATTCTTCATATTTTAAAATAAATTCTACGTACGTCTTCAATACCGCTCATATTTGTTACAGCTTCATGTAAACCTTGAGAAAGCCTTGGAATTCTAAACACGTCAGCGCATGCGTCTTCTTCTAAGGTCGAAAACAACTCTTCATCCTCGAGAAGGTCATCAGTTTCCTCTTCCGGGTAAGGTGATTGTCCGTCAAACACTACTTCCGTTATGTTTTGGTTTCCCAAAGATGTTTCCTCTTGTTCTGTTTGCTGAATATTTAATAATGATATAATATATGTATTTATCACTTTATCTAAGTTTCATTTATGAATATTTACAGGTGCAAATATTTTTCTTATGTAAACTTAGTGAAAGTAAAATATGTGTATAAATTAATGTATAAGAGCTCGATTCACTTTATGCATAAAACGGCCCTGTCGTTAAACAAATTTATTGACTAACATTTTATATTCACTTTAATTTTAAACATAAAAATAAAGTAGAGACTTAGTACTTTCATTTTCTATTAATTTTTCCCATATAAACTACAAGTCTTGGAACACAGGCTTTATGGAATTGCAATGAACTTTGATTTTTTAAAGTAAATAGGTATATTTAAGTACCTTCAGAGAAGAAAGAAATATGAACGCACCCTCTGATCTAAAAATAAAACATGTCTTATAATCCCCAGAAACTGTTCTATCATTTACTACTTGTAATTTGAGATCAGAGATTGCACTATATATTAAATATTGAAAAATAGCTTTAAAAATTGGCTGTTTTGTAGACTTTTTCAGAATATGAGGAAATTGACGCATTTCATGACGCCACAAAGCATTGACTGGCCAGAAAATGTTTGATAGATATACAATCATCAAAGGTCTAAAGGATATTTAATGCATTGTTAACTAAAATAAATCAGTTTCAGATTTTCAGAAAATCACAAGACCAAAAAAGGCCATAAGTGAACCTTGTATTTCTTCAAGGGGTCAGGGGTCATAGCGTGACAGAATCACTTGGCAAGATGCTCTTTTTTTTTATATTTCTATCACAGTTAGACTGGTTTAGGAATGTTTAAGTTGATAGCGATAAAAAATTAAACATTGAACGACATGGATGTTTTTTTTTCAATTCAAAAAAATGCCTATGAGATCTTCCCTCGAATAAATCCCGAATTCCGTACGTAAACTGAAAGAAATTACACCAACGCTTTTGAACTTCATCCTTTAAAGAACAAATGAAATAGTAAAATTTTTCTCAGAAACAATCAGACTTGTATCATTAAAACCGTTTTTTTTGTTACCAACTTTGGTGGTATACTCTCCTTGTCATGATTGCGCGAAATAACAGAAAAATACGTCGACAATTCTGTGTGAAATTTGCAATCACCTATAAAATATCTATTTATTATGGAATTTATTTCTAGATTTGCAGATAACAACACCTCTGTGGAACAATATTAAAAATATTTTAATTTTGGTCTGATTGACTTCTAAAACATTTTATTATAAAATAAAGATTTTGAATTAAGCTTAAGATGTTTTATGATTCCGGGGCCTGGACTACATTAAATTTTAAAATGTAATGGAAATTCGAACTTGCCTCTATACGAATGACTTTTCGGGGAAGAAAGAATAAAATACATTTTACATTACAATTTTATTTTTTTATCTGAATAAAACTGCAAGGATAAAAATTATATCATTCGTTCATCGAAAAGTTAGGTAAAGAAAATTTAGGACGGGAGTGAAAGACATACAGATATTTTTAAGTGGGCGGGGCCTAGAATAACAATTATCTATTGTGGTTTTAGGTTTATTATCAAATAGTCTGCGGTTATGCAAATTGTTACGCAAGCCAAAGATTCCATGACGAAAAGTTGTTATCAACGTTCATTTCTAAAATAAAACGCACTAAAATTCACGCAGTTTAGTACATATTTTTTAAACCCATTGAAGACTTCAACAGTTTGCTAATAATGGAAGGTCATACAAAAACGATGTTCCTGTGATTTGCATAATTATGGAAATGAATTAATCAAAGCGAGCCATTTTTAAAAAAGCCTAAAACAAATATTGTTTTATGCAAGGTACTGGAAGTAAAGTCAACCACGAGGAAAAAAAAACTCAATTGATTCAGCTAATCTCCATTCGCTGATGATGTCAGTAAGCTTTAGTGCTGTTCAGCGTTGTGCAGTATACTCTTGCATGTAAAAAAGTTAACATTACGCCATTTTGCAGCATACCTTTAAGAAATGTTATCACCATGACTAGAAATATCCATCTAGGTATTATTTGTTCAGTGATGCTTGTTTTTCTTTTCTAAAAACATTGCATTTTGGCAAAAGTCAAAAAGTTCTTAACATTGTAATTTTAATTGGATTAATGTCCTTCGTCGACACCGTAATAATCTCTCTCTCTCTCTTTCGTAATTTATCCTTCTTGTGAAAGTTCTTTATGGAATCTTTTCATTTCAAAACACTTGCAGATATCTTGTTTTTTAATCAACATCTCAAACAAATACACATAATAATGATAATAATAATAATAATGATAATAATTTGAAATTAGAAAATTATATAAGTTAAAATCAAACATCTTCATGTCGTAGAGTTTAAATGTAAGAAAACTTTTGTGAGTATTACATTGATCTAGCAATACTAGTAGTTCCCTTTAACGGCAAGTGTTATCTGGTTCTCATTAAAAATTAAAAATGGTGTAATAAAAAAACCTCACTGAAGTCGGACGAAATACAAACTTTATCCTTTTAGTCATCAAGTTAGATTCATTTACCAAAATCAGATCAAAATATATCTGCAAGCATTTAGGAATAAAAGCGGAAAACCCTAAAGATTTCAAAAGGCCGTAACTTCTTCAAAAATCATGAAAGCGGAACGAAATACAAACGTCTTTTACTCATGTCGATATAGTTACATATAAAAATTTAACTCAATATCGGCAAGCGTTAAGATAAAAATTACGGAAAATAAAGTTGGACAGGCACTCAGAACAATGGACACCTAGACAGAAGAGGAAACCTTAAACTCCATTCCGTTTTCAACGCTAGGATACTCATCCAAGTAATTATGGCATTATAAATGAGGAAATATTCTTTTATATATCTTTGTTCTCATTCTAATTAATACACATAAATACATGTATTTTCTTTTTTTATGATACAAAATCGTTTTATACACTTAGTCTGTTTTTTATCATTAGGAATTATCAATAACGTTCGACATTGCAACACATTGTTAAATTTACATAAACCTTCTAGTTTTACAGCTTTTATATATAAAGAGAGTTAGTAGAAACAAAGCTTACAATATAAATTCGGGATGTACATGTTATTATATGGATAATTACTTTCGATTACTTTTGGAAATTAAAATTCAAGGTTCTTGAAGTCTGCATTAAAGTCAGGAATTCTATAATGACCAAGTCGATATATAATTGATCTAAAAAATAAACCACTACAAACAGTTTTATATATATATATATATTTATATATATATATATATATATATATATATATATATATATATATATATATATATATATATATATTTCATTGAGCATACAGGAATATTTGCGCAATATTTCGAAAAAAATGAGAAACTAACCAGTGTTAAAATATATATATCTATATACAAATTACAAAAAATCTACGGGAAGTGCTTAAAAGAGCAAATGTTTATTTAATTTTAATCTTTGCAGCTAGTTTTAATGTTGGGAATACAATCGAATTGATTGCATTCAACATGGAGTCAACATACCTTTTCATGCAAATCAAAAGGATTAATTTCAATTATTGGGCTGATATCCAAATATTCTGGTGTTATCTCTGCTAAATATTCTTGATCCATATTTTGGTAACTCCCGTTGGAGATCGCAATCCTTTTCTAGCAAGAAACTTTAATGTAATTTCTTTATAAAGATGCAGAAGTTATGAAACAACTTCACAACACGTGATAAAAGAACTGTCTTAAGTTGAGCATACACGTGTACCACGTTGATATCAATTGTAATTTACAGTTCATTATAGGTTTGGCAATAGATTACTTGTAACTAATTTTACTGAATTAACAGTTAAACTGTTATGTAAAAAGTAAAATGTTATTCTATATTCCATAAAATTAACAGTCATGAAAATTGAATACATCTATGTTATCTACCAAAACTAATTATGCCTTCAAATAATTTAAATGTCTTATCTTACAAACCATTTATGAAGAATGGTAAAAAAGCTTTTAATCAACGTTGCTAAAATATATTAAATACCCTATCTAATAGAAAAAAGCTTTTAGACAATTACTCAATGCAACGTAGTATTTTGATCCGAGTATGACTTTTAAGAGAATGAATCCATTTACTACTAGTAATCTATATTTAAAACATAGGCTCCATTGGGCTGCACATAAGTCAGTGAAGTTGCAAGAGAGATACATTATAGTAGACGATAAATGGAATTAGCATATCATCATTCCTGTTGTTATCCACATAAACATGATAAATATTTTTATTATTCAAAATTTTTAGGAGCCCTGAAAATATTTTTAGATTTATATTTAAGCACTTAATAAAAAGAGATGTGTTTGTGAAACACAGACGCCCGCGTATGACAGCTTATGGCAAGGATTGGTATTCCTCAAAGTTAACTCGAAGGTCATGATAAAGAGGCCAAAATTGATTTTACCAATGGAAGTACTTGTTATGGTCAAAGTTAAATTTTTGAGGTGGGCCAAACCCTAAAGTCAAAAGGTCAAATTGTTGGTATTAATAGGCAGTTCTTTTCACATTGTCACAAGGAATACATCTTGAATTCACACCTGTGCAATATGAAAGCCCTAGTACTTACTGTTAAAAAATTATGGTCAAGCTTAAAGTTGTTAAAAACATGTCAAATTTGGTGGTACAAAGAAAAGTTCTTCTCACAAGAAATACACCTGCGAGATTTGAAAGTCATAGCCCCACCCCCTCAAAAGTTATGTACAAGGTGAAAATTTTGGCGGAAAAACAGACAGACAGTTAAACAGACAAACAGATAAACAGACGGACGGACAGGGCAAAAAATATAGATGTAATGAACATGATATAATGAGAATAATTTAAATAATTCAAAATTACTTATAATATCTGTAAATCATAAAATGATATTCAACTTTTATATGTACATATATGTAATGTATGTAAGAATCACTATTGTTTCTGTGCTATTTGTATCGAGAAAGTTTAAAGTGTTGAACAACGCTTCTTACACCCCTCCATGGGTCCAATTCCCTTCAATGGCAATGTCTTGACAATTACCGAGATTGCATGATGAAAATCCCTATCTTGGTGTGACGTTGTTACGTGCCAACGTCGTCATGGTTGGTTGGATACGCTTCAAGTTACTCTCTGACAACTGAAAAATGTTTTATGGTAGAAAAGTTAAAAATAAACTGCATTGCAGCATGTCGTTGCCTTTTTATTCATTTATGCAATTTCCTTAGTAGACCCAAAAAAACTTCCGTCAGCCAAGCCATGATTGCAAGAAATTTATACTGACTTTAAAATACAAAGACAATGTCTATACAGTGCATCAATAGATAATAAAAATGTCATAATCAATGTGCACGGGTTTTTCACTTTTTACCACATTCTCCACCAGACGTCAACCATTTAACGGTTGAGTAGTTTTGAGTATCGATTTTTGTGTAAAGAAACCAAAATACATCTCTGACCAATTTTCACATTTATTTGCCACATATTCAAACATTTTTCGCATATCTTGTTGTCATCTGTTTCTTTCCCTTTCAGTATAATTTTCAGCCAGGTACATATTCATGTAATCTAGATATTCCTTTCGTCTTCCTCTATAAAAAAAAAACTCGCAATAGATCACTATATGTAATATCCCAATGATTTTATTTTTCACTGAAAAGTGCGAGAGATACAGGTATTTAAATATTAGCCAATTAGAATCCAGCAGACGTGCATGTATACTCCTGCATTCATTTTCGATGTAAGCACAATACAGGAACCCAGTATAATAATATTTGTTATCAAAACTTCCTATATCCTATATTCCTATATTGTTGATAACTAATGATTGTTGATTGACTTATCTTGTTTACGTCACATTCGAGAGTTTTCGCCCACGTAGACATGTCACCATTTATCGTACAAGGGATTCAAATTTAGTTTTTTTTTTTCGAGAATCAGGGCCATTGAGCATCGAGGGTTCTTCATTGTGACAACGTCCGCCGTGATACGCGGGGTTTCGATATTTAAAGTCTCACTCGAAGGGCCCGCAACTGTCAATTTTAAATCATAAGCATTTGGCGAAGAAACATTTGCTACTTATGTCTGACCTAGTTACGTTGCGGCAAATTTTCATAAAAGAAATACCATCCGATCACACACAAATATTCCAACAAATGAACAAAACAACAAAAGCAAACAAATAAACATACAAAACAATACAAACGGAAAATTAACGATAAAATTTTATTTAAAAAAACCCCAAGGATTTAAAAGTTTTTAATTGTTTGGAGATATATTCTAATTCTGCTATAAATGATGATTTCTTATGTTATACTGAAACAAGTCAATAAATTTTTTAATATAAATAAAATCTCGTTTTATTTCTCGTATAAATATTACAGAAAAGTATTTGTCATTATTATAGGATATACTCAAGGAATAAATACGGAAAGAAGATTTTTCCTATGTAATTTAACAAAATTTAACAACAACAACAACAACAAAAAAGAATATTAGGACGTTGAAATTTGAAATTTCTTAAATAGGTTTTATTTTACGTAGTTAATATTTTTCGCTTGCCAATTCTTATCATTACTTTATTCTTCCATGTACTTTATTGTAAAAAAAAAATTCAAAAAAAGTTTGTAATCGGCTAAAAATAATAATGGGCTAGACATATTAATTAATGGTCTTTCGCTGCATGCGTGCATAATTGGATTCACCTTTGATTTACAATTTCCTTTGACTACCTGAAAAAAAAATGACGCAAAATGCAACATTCATGATATATTTAAATAACAAACAGTTAAAAAAAAAACACTGTATTGGTTTAACATCTTCTACACCTGATAAAGATATTGTTATCTAACTTAATTTTAAAAAATCATCAAAATGCCATTTTTACAATGAGGCACACAGAATACATTGATAAATAAACAGTTTTATAAGAGGATTAAATAAGTTTATAATTCAATGAATGACACAATGATTTATAAATTCTATGTAAGATTTTATCATTATGCATAAAAAATACAGGCAATGGGAATAACTTTTACTTCTCGGCATTTGTATTTCAAAAACGTTTCAATAATCGTAAAATACTTTTACTTCAAAAAAAAGAGAAGAAAATAACGCCCGAAAATGAAATTTAGAAAATGTCATTTTGTAAAATTCAATATTCTTTAAATATCTGGCAGATAAATAATAAAGGTAACCTTGCAAAAAAGACCTTTCTGATTATATTCAAAATATTATACTTAAAACGAAGATTGGGGCAATTAATAATAAAACTTTACCAAAAGCTGTAAAACACCATGCTAATCACAAGAAGAATTGATGATAAAGATTTAAGTATCTGCACATACCCAATTATATCAAGAGAGCAACATCTGAAGTTTTCTTCATCTGCATGGAAAAACTCTGTTTGATTCTTAATGTAGACAAGAAAAACGCATGTTTTAAGCAAATATATGTATTTGTATGGACAGGGGTGCAATACAGTTTTGTTAAGATTTAAGTGTATGTGATGAAAAGTTTGTTGACATGAGGATTATATTAATATATATTCCTTCATTAAAAAACAACAATATACATATTTGAAAAAAAAAATAGTATTTAATTATGGAAAGTTAAATTAATCAGATATTCTCTTATTCTCTTTTACAATTTTATCAATCCAAAATTCTCCCTAATTTTATATCTGAATCTTTTTCTGAAGAAAAAAAAACACTTAAGGAGCCTACTGGGGTTTCCATCGCGCAATATTTCGTGCCTCATAATAAAAAGAAGGGCGTTTACTTTTTGAAAGCAACTTTTTTTCACATAATTAATAAAATTCAACAAAATAAAGGAATTACAGGTTAAAAAAATATATTACAACTTTATATAACTGATTATTTATACCATTTTCAACTGATTGGTAGATTGACGTTGTAACTGGGGTCTATTATAATAGAGAACCTCTTAAAGTTTGTACTATATGTAGCTTACATTTACTTCAGTGTACAGTAATCAGTGCCAACTTTAGGGGAAACCGTCCAGGTATTTTTAAGGGACCGTCTCAAAATACCGGTATTTTTATGATAGGATTATATAGAAAAATGCCAATTTTTCGCACTTTCAAGCAAATCATACAAATACTACAAAAGACTTTTCGCTCAGTTTCTAATAAATGATGATTAATGCTATATTTTACATTATATGTAAGAAACACAAAATTGTACCCTTTTGTTTCCGGAGGGGATATCTCAAAATGTCAAAATAAATGAAATTTCCCTGTTTTTTATGGAGTACTACAAACTAAGACAGAACAAAAGATTTTTGCAAGAAATCCATAAAAATGATTGAAAGAATCTCAAATTCCTATGTTTAAAATTTCAATAGCTTACATCTAATACTTTTTCTTTAATAAGAAAATATGAATAAATGATTATTCTTTACGACCCCTTCTTTCCTAGCTTTAGTTAATCATAACGTCAAAAGCACATGATTACGAAAACAATAGAACACGTCCTGACACAATTTATGTTTCTACATTCCATTTTGCAGACTCGCAACCTCTTGTTCAGGAGTGCAACAAAAATATAATAATTGTTTGCTGATCAAATAAGATTAAATATAAAGAAAACGT